ACAATTCTACTGACTAGGTTTTTGTCCTTCAAAAAATTTTTTAATAATGTTCCTACTTGCTTTGTACTGTTCTATTATTCCATCTTGCAATTGAAAAATGTTGATATGCAATTGAAGAAGTTTTCATTTTATCTTGTGATGAAACCTGATGTAACTTGAAGTATTAGACTCATTACATGAATAGGTCCTTTTTGTTGACAGAAAAGGTTTCATTTAATGTAACTAATGCAGATAAAATGAATGAAAATTTTCAGTTAAGTGATAACGACGGCATGATATTAGATGTTGTTTCTATAAAATTTTTGCAAAATATTTGTCCAGTCGCTCCAGTACTTATACTAACGAATTATTCACGAATTTATAGAAAACAGAAAACATTGGAGGAAGTGGAACAACGTATAGAAGCATTACACAAAATTTATTGTTGAAACTGACAGTACTTAGACAGATGGATTAAGAAACAATGTCAACTTCAGTTTATGATTTCCCTTCATTTTTTGTAAATTTAGCAATCCCATCCATTATTTCTAATCTATTTCACCCTCCCTTATTGATCATTATCATCAACCGTTCCTTTCTGAAATTGAAATTGATACACATAAGGCTTGAGATGAAGGTTATATTTTCTGGTTTTTTCTTGTTTTGATTATGCATAAATCTTCAATTAAAAAAAAAAGAAAACGATAAAACTAAACGATGTTGTAACAAATCGTTTAGTTTTATCTAAATTGAAGCGAATTATCAAATGCACAAGAAAACATGTTATCAAAACCTACACTAATAAAAGGTCATTTAACAATAGAAACTTAAACATGGATAGATTACAATATTACCGTGTTATACCTTAATTTACTTCTAAAATGTATTTTGAAACAATGGAAGAATTTAGAAAAGAGCAAGAATGTCAAAGTGTTACAAATTCTGCCTTTAAACAACAGCGTAACGATGAGTTTATATAAATTGAAATGAATTGTCAAATGAATGTGATAAGAAAACATCGTATTAATATCTGCACTAGTAAGAGGTCATCAGAAAGGCTTGTAAAATGAAAATCTTCCAGTTTTGTAGGTCACGAAATGTACTCATTAGTCAATAATTGAGCTCACTAATAATTTCACATTAAGCTACATTTTTTTATATAGTATGAGTTGACCTTAAAATGGACGCTTTCTTTTCAGAAGAATTCAAAACCAACTGATGTATTTGTTTATATATTTGTTCTAAAGTTCAACCTGAATATTAACATTATATTTCTTTTAATCTCAAGCATATAGCACAGCAGATTACAATTATTTCATTATTACTTCACTTATGACCAATCTCTAGTAATTACAAGAATATATTATTAATATTTGTAAATGAATGAAAATATATATAAATCTGTCAGTTATTTTTTCAAATACTTCTGTGGTTGTCAATAATTTATTCTAATTGACAATGTTGTGTCTTTAAAAAAGTTATTAAGGTAATACTAACATAACGTATTATTTGCTTTTCAAATCTATACTGCTTTGAAAGGAATTAATGTAATGTCAGGAATGAATGGATCTTGAAACAATTAATATTATGAAGTCTGAACAATGTATAATCAATACGAATGATTATAGACTTGACCATTTTAATGAACTAATGTCGATGATTAGTAAGTTGCTGTGGTACACTGTTCACCTGGTAATAGGCTATCTGATTTCCCTAGCTTACGAAAAGATTTAGCTAGCATCATTCTCACTGCAACTATTGCTGAACTACTGCTGCTTTCATCAATAACTTTTTATCTACTGCTGTTGATTACTTTGAAAAGTGATAAGGGAATACTTTTTCGCCCGGTTCTTTTCATCAGGTTATCTGTAGTGCCGTGAATCAGGTCATTTGTAACGTTATGAATTAAAATCTTTGCCTGCCGTTCATCGATTAGACACAGTTCGAAATTGAATGGTATTCATCTATCGACTCAAATAAGCGTGATCACCAATTCTTTCAAGGCCGATAGTCTTGGAAGTGTCATCAGTCTTACCGTTTACTATGATATGTAGTTTTCAGGTCTTATTTCTTAAACCAAGTTTTTGCAAAATTTTATCTGCAATACCACATCTTTTCTTGATTACAGTTGATGGGACTGTTGCCTTTCTACTTCCAAAACACAGAAAAAAATTTCCAAAAAATTTTTCATGGTACTCATTACTACAAAGGCTTAAAGCAGATCGTTCAATCGAATACTATCAAAGGTTTTTATGGAACTAGTTAAAAAATACAAAGTTAAAATTTTTTAAAACAATTAATTAAATTAATCCAAAATGTGTTGTATAGTTTTCCGATTCGTCTTGCTTACCGTTTTGTAGAGTCACGAGTCTTATCATCGTTTCACTTTTTAAAAGAATCTTTTAAGTCTAACTATTCTTGGCAGAGATTATATAATTGTCGAGTGGATATTTTCGTTGTTTTGGATATTTTTTTTGCCCTCATGAAGTTCAGGTCTAACGAAAGGATATTTGTGCTTTGTATAATTGTTCGGACTCATTTAAATCAGAGTAACGAACAATGCACTGATTTCTGCCACCTTTGGTTTTTTATGAAACACATACATGTATTCACAATTACAAACACCAATAAACTAGCACGCGTTACAGCACCAGCTCAGGACTGGAACGAACGCAAAGTAATTGATATTCTCAAAATCATTGGCACTGCGATGATTCTCTTCAGTTTTTAATGTTCTTTAAAAACGGAGAAATTGTAATTTCATATTCGTCATATTTTCTTATGAAAAGTAAAACGAAAACAATTGGCTTATCAGTTGATTAGCTTACTGGAATAAATCTATCAGAAAATCGCTACTACTAATAATATCGCAGTGATACGGATATAATTCTCGCTCAGTTGCTGAATCTCAATTAACCTTACCAATCATAAGATAAAATTTTATCAAAAATAAAGAACAAAATTGAGAAAAGCACTTTATCAAATTTGTTGCAATATTGAAAAGTTTACTTTAATGCCTCTTAATATTTTAACTTTAAAACCAGTTCTTTTCATGAGTCTGTGCTGATCGCTGTTCCATAACATTTGCTTCCGCAACTATGAAAGGCAACACAGTCAGTGTTGATAACTTCCATTAGAAAAGTTTAAGGTCTCAAATTTTCACATTTTTCTAAAATCAGAATCTTGGTTTTTCTCTCTGTTTATGAAATTTAGAAGCTCATTTCAAGTCATGCCAGCTTTACACCAAGCAACTGAACTTTTGCTTGCACTGCTTACAAAATCTATACGTTAAACTATTTTTGATCTGAGGACTGCAACATTCAATAATATTGACAACCGGTCAGTATGATTATACTTTGCTTGTACTGCCTAATTCTATTTATGCCACATTCAGTACTAACAATTTATTTTGTAAGTATAATTTCATCTTAATTTAAAAATACTTGTAAGAAGAGGTATACAGCTTCATTCAAATACAGATATTACCCAAGCACTTTTCATTTAAATTATTTGAATTTTTGGAAGTAAGCAACCAGACAGAAGATAAACATTCTTATGAAAGGAATTTATTGGAAAGCGAAGATCCTACTATAACCAATTAACACTCAGCTCTGCCCTCCAATGATTTTTTTATGAACTGTTCCTAAATTATTGATTGTCAGATACATAAGGTTTTGTTTTATCTTACATATGCCATATCTGTTACGTGAGATTCAGTGCTAAAATAAATTCTAACTGTATCTTACTAGAACTTGGGATTGATTAATGTTGAATCATGAAGATATGGAAACTATGAGTTGAGATGTTTTGGAAATTTTCAACTGCAATTGGTTACGTTCAATATTCATAATCGTCATTTCGAAGGTACTGTCAAACATCAGTCTCATAATTTGGTATGTGTCGAACTAAGTTCGAAATAACTCTTTGAAAAAAATGCAGAAAATAAAATGCTTCAAGTTAAACTGATTGTTACCATTACTCAGAGATTGGGAGAACGCCATTTAATTTTTTTCTAAGCATTCCAAATGTAAGAACGCCTTAGTAATTTGACATTATCAAGTCATATTGGTCATTGTTGGCTTATGAGCAATATTTTATAATCAAATTGTTAATCTACTTGCTTCTATTATCGGTCAAATATCACGCGAATAAGCAAGTGATGCAAAATGAATCTTAGAGCCATTCAGAATTTCTACTCACAACTTTTTTTTTCAGTATAACATGTTCGAAAAAATTTTTCTTATTTTTCTACTAACAGTGCCAGTGGTGATTGTCGAATCGAAGCAGTATGAAATCAAAGAATTCGAAAACCCTGCTGTAAGTTTCCCAGTTATTTCCAATATCATTATGTAAAAGCTGCCATAACGTCTTTTTTTTTCCAGAAAGCATTGCCATACAAAGAAGTTCGGAAATCTCATGAAAGCGAAATTCTAAAGGGAATAGTACATTATGTTGCTGTTGCTCTTTTCTTGCGGTTACTCCACCCAAAAGGCGACTGAATCCATCATTAGTCAAGAATTCATACTTGCGCGCCTTATTTATTCTGTAACCACAACGTCTTTAACAAACTGAGATGTTTTCAAATTCTTCCTAACTCGAATGTAAAATAACGTACTGCATTTCTTCGAGTTTCGGTCCTCTTCTAATACTTGCACAAGTTTTCGAGAAATTCATTGTAGAAATCCTTAGTTTATCATCCTTATTGGTAAGTCGATAGCACAGAAAATTACAAATGTTTCGTTTGTTCATTACTAAAGTTATCTTTTAGAAATGTCCATTACATAGATATATCTCCATGAAACAGCCGCTCTTGTCAAGATTGGTTCATGTATCAGCTTTCACAGTCTATTTGTAGTCCCTGAAAGTGAAGATGCACTACTGATTTTGTCTCCATGCTACAGCAGTTGTGTCGATTGGATTTCGGTAAAAAACAAAAGAGACAAGTTATCAGATCTTAACAGCTCATTAGACTTGAGCAATTCTGCATTAGTAACTATTAGGTAATCGTGAACAGAAATAAAATGCGTCCGTGTGGTCTGTATGGGTTCTGCTTTACTGGTAATGAATTGAACGGACTCCCAGTCATCATTTCGGTTTCATTTGCATGATTTATTGGTTATTTCAGATGTAGTTATTTCTATTTAAATTTCTTTATAATTTCCTTTACTTTAACTTTCTCGTTCATACTTTTGATTCATTTATTCATCTTTGGTATTACCTGGAAAAATTGATTTTGTCACTAATAAGCTGCTAAGTTTGCTATATTCTCTTCCCTTTTTAGTTTTTATTAGAATAAAATGAGAGGTTTGAAATGAAGCTACATTAAAGTTTTAATCCTTTTTATCTCTTTTAATGCTTTTCAAAAATATATATATTTGCATTTTTTTTTTCAGAGATTACTAATGGAACCAGAATTACGATAATAAATTTGTTCTTTTTAACAACACTGCTTGAAATGAAGTGATCCAAGAAAAAATGAAAAGCTTCATACTTTAAATCACCATTCTTCTTCCCAGTTTCTTATTTTGTTAGCCATTTCTGTTCTGCTTGTGCCACAGATATTCATCACTGTAAGTCGCAATGGTAGTTTGGTCATTTTCTTCTAAGACTTCTTGTGCAAGGTTGCTGCTTCCATTGATTTTCCGTTTCACACGTTGATTTGAGGAAGCGATTGGAGTGACACAGGTTAAATGAAACTATCGGCCCATTAATTTCAGAAAATCAATCAAGAAGAGATGGAATTTAGCAATGTTTCACGATATATCGAATAGGAGCTTGCTATAATTCCGAAATTTACATTACTTTCACATTATCTGAGCTGTAATCATTAATAATTATTACTACAAAAATCAGAAGATATCATGGTTTCAAAGTTGGAGTTCAAGGTAGTTAATCATTGAGTTGAAAACTTGCGCATGACGTGTAGGTTTTAGGATTGTGGTAATCAAGCAAATGAGTGGAAACCGTGCATTGAAAGAAAAATAGCTGATCAAGTTTTTGGAGCATGTTGTGATCGTTTTGCGCCACCAGAATGCCGAGGCTTATGTATCTACGAAAGTAATCCTATCGAAGCACGAGTTGTTGTAATTTTTTCTCCTTATTTCTAACTGCTCATCCTTTCCTTGTAAAATATGGGTTATCATAGTCGTTTGATTTACATATTTATTCATTAGAGTTTCATTATAAAAGGAAATTTGCAGTTAATGCATGCAATTCAACCATCTCGATGTCGTTTATATAAATATCTGAGTTCGATAATACATTGTGCCGCTCAAACGCACGACAATACGGCTTGCTGTAGAGACATGGGTGTTCATGAAATCGGTTTGCAGTGCTTGCAGTTGTGTAAACCACAAGTAATCTCTACAAACTTTAAATCTATTCCTTCATTCTCTTTTACTTATAAACAGCAAAAACTTTCATAATACATATACAATTTAACGAACTCTCTCAGATAATTGCATAAGGAAAAATGTTATTAATGTTTTCTGTTTAATTGAATGCGTTCACGCAGATGATGTTAGCTCAACCAATCATAATTGACCTCTGATTCTAAGCGTCTATCTATATGAACATCTGATATTAGAAAAATACTTTTTCATATATTAGAAAAATTCGGTTATTTATTTCCAGGCAGTACCTCTTCAGTTGTGGGGTACTAGATCACTACGCAAAGATCTCGTCGTATGTTTGGCAAAGTGGGACCAAATAATGTTCTGTCATCAAGCTGGTCTACGTGCTCGGAAAATCATGAAAACACCAACGGTAGTTACGTCACAGTAACTCACTATAGTCCTGCTCTTTGTTCTTTCACGCGTGTATTTTATAAACATATATTAGCGTTGTTCTTTTTTTTAATTTTTGGAACAATGTTAGTGCATCTTACACAATGCTATTGACTCTAAATGATTAGAAGAATGAGAAAGTTCCTCTGACTCTGCAAGTAGGTAAGAATTTAACTTTTTAATAACTGAACTAAAATTTGTTTCGGTTTTCATACTTATCACACAGAATAGTTGAAGACTGCTGCAAAAAAAAAAAAAAAAAAAAAAAAAACGTATAAAATATGTTTCGAATGCATTTGCTGAAAGAAATGTATATGCAAACATGGTTAATATGGCTCCATTTGTACTGACGTAATGGAGTATAACTTTTGATTAATTTCATGATATATACAAGCTGAGTTTAAGTTATTTGAGACCACAATATTGTTCTTTGTGTGGCATTAATATTATTAAAACACTGGTATTCTCTCAATTTTTTAAGACAAACAGTGTTTCTTATGACAACCTATTTTTATTCCCAAAGCAACTTGTTAAATACACATCACGTCAAGCAAAAGATGGTGCAAATTTCTTGCTTAGTGTGTGTCACCAATTTTATCACTATCTTTTCCTCCAGTTGTCATGAATGATTTTTTGTTGAACAAAACGTATTTTTTTCTGCATATTCATTTGTTTTTCTTTATCCACCTAGGGTCTATTGATTTATATTTAATATTCTCCCTTACCCTCCAAAAACAAAAACAATAAAAAAACAAGAAAAAAAAATCGACTAATACCTGCAAGAATTTTAATAGTTATGGTTTAATTTTGACAACTAATGTTTAAGACATTAATTAACTCAGCTGGTGTTTCAAAAGTAGTGGTGCTTAACAAAATCAAGCTTGCAAAGACATTATTGAAAACGTTGTCTTTGAACCCGCTAGTTCTGGAATTCTAGAGGAGTTCTTTGAAGTTCAGCAATGCCTATATAACTATACTGAAACTGTTGTGCTGTTTCATTTGCTGCTGTTAGTTTGAAAATTTTGAAAAATTTCAGAGAGAACTTTTTATTTATAAAGGATTTAGGAGCGAAAAAAATTATCACATGAGAAGAAAGAAATGCGTTCTCAACTGAAAGGTGAAATTACCGAACTACGAGCAAATATCGCCAAGATGAACTTAATGATAGAGAAAGCTGGAACTTTTTGTAATGAGCCAACAAATCAAATGAAACATGAATTGCAGGTAATATCGCATATTTAGTCACGTCAAAATGTAAAACTGTAATGGAATTCATAACTATACTTATAAACATGGTTTTTTTTTTTTTTTTTTTTTCTCTAGATGAACTAAACTTAGTAAGAAGGGGTTATAACTTAATATTTTAGAACCTATCAGAAGAAAATGTAGCACTGAAGTCGAAGCTAACTGAAACTCACCTTGAACTGGCAATCATTAAATCGGAACTAGCCATTATTCGTACTGATTATGAGTCCAGGAAAAAAGAAATGTCAAGTAACTCGAAAGCATTATTTGAAAATGCTCAACAAACAAAATTTGGAACGACAATTCAAACTGCTCTAGTAGGTCTTTTTAGATTTATTCATTTTGCTTTCGAGTTTCTTTTTTTTTTATTTCCAGCAAGGGGTCTAACTTTTTATGTAGCTCACACAAATACTGTCGTTTATAAGTAATTTAGTAGAATAGTTTTCAATTTCCAAGTATTATTTAGCAGTTAGTGGATAAAATGTACTTTATTGCTGACATGATTCACAATTCGTTTACCGTTATTAAATTAACTGAGGTGAAAGGGATTTTTGTCCAGAGATGAGTCTTTGTCACCAATTTCTTATTAGATATGCAAGAAATTTCTTGAAAATTTTGTGAGCAAAATTTTATAGTGATGCGAACAGGAAGCTTCATGATACAAATGACATCTTGCGCAAGGCGTTGATCAGAAAGCCATAGTAAGCCATCTTTTTACAGCATATCTAATATATTTAAAACCGTCGGTACACGGTTCACCCTCCCATGCAACACTCTGGATTTTGGAAGCATCGATTTCTAAAATTTCAAGAAAGCTGTACACTTTTTTCCTTCTTTTTAGCTCTTTCTTATCAAATGCTTAATTACTGTTTTCATCATTGTAACGTAGTAATGCTGCCTTGGAAACACTGGTCCCAAATTTCAATCCTGGAAGTTACAACGCTTTTTTTTTTTTTTCACCAAAACATTCAGAATAGTAGCAGATTTTTGAAAAAGGCATGTGTTTTCCGTAAATTTTCTAAGCCTGTTTTTGAAGTATAAAACGTCACTCTTTTCGAAACTATTTATATTCAGTAACAATTATATATAAAAAGCACATAATGCTAGTTTCCAAATAATATACTCTTTTTGAAAATGTTTTAATTGATTTATCTTTTTCCCCTTTCTTTTTGATTTTGAGATAGGACTGCATTTTAAAAGATGAGAAATGAAGAAGATGCGAGAAAGGTTCTTGTTTCTGATTGACATCTTCTGAACAAAAAATAACCAAAATAATATGTTTACGTTCAAAACGGATTGTATTTTCGAAGGATTACGTGACTGTATGTTTTCGATATACTTTGATTTTATTTTTTCAGCTTACTTCATCGCCTATGCGGGTTTTGTATGATACTTCAAATGCGAAGCCGAGAGAAACTCATAGTGCATATAATACAGATGAAAATACTGTTTTCATTATTCTGATTAAATGACAGTTCTTTGGGAATCACTTTTAATAAATGTGGTAGTGGGTGGCCATGAATAAATATCTTCTAAAAGTTAACTGGAATTTGAATAGTTGTCGAATAAATAACGTATCACTCATGACTGTTGAATGAAGTCTCAACATCATAGCATAGCTGGATTTCAGACACTGAATCGATATTGAGATATAAAGGCACTTTATCGAAAAACTTCGAAAACAAATTATCAGCAACAACGGTTGTATGTTTAAGTTTTTTTTTTTATATATAGCGCGTAAAAATATATTAGACTCGCGATTATTCGCTTTATTTTGGAAACTAATGAAGTATTTGGAAAATGTAGTTTTAGGAGTTTGGAGAATTAAATGGTCCACTTGAAAGGACTTTCCGAGTGATAATGTGTGGTAATGCCTCAGTAGGTAAATCGTCGATAGTCACTAGGATTATAAAAGACACTTTTCCCGGAAAATTGCATAGTACTCTCGGTAAATTTATAAATTCTGTAATCAGTAACGCATTTTCAAATTCATTTATAGATTAGAAATGCAAAAGTAATATTTGAGAATTTTGAAGACTTCAATTCAAGTATATAATCAGACACCGTTGCTTGTGCTTCAAACTATATGGCACAATATACTCTCACATTATCTTTCAGAGACAGTTTTAATATTTAACATATTTGTTTTGTTGTAGAAAATTTTGGGATATCAATTAAAGTGGTGTTTTGTAAAATCAGATTTAACAGCAAAAGGAGACCAAATTTAGGAGTTGATTTTTATGTAAAAAGTGTCAGTATCGACGGAAAAAATGTTGCTATACAATTATGGGATACAGCTGGTCAAGAAAGGTATCGTTTTTTTTAGCGGCTAATAGCATAAGTTCGGTTATTCATTGAATGCAGAAAAAGTTCATTGTTATCACACACTATGCTTTTTAAGTATTACGATACAAGCGTTTGTTAAATCATTCTTGATTTTCAGCCACTTAACTTACAATTATAGTCTAGTTCAAACCGCTATATATGATTAGCTGTGACACTTCATCCTGTCTTCAGTCATCCTAATTAATGTTTTCTTTTAAAATTAATTTCGTTTTTAGATTTCGCAGTTTATGCAAGAGTTATTTTCGACGAGCTGATGCTGCAATCCTTGTGTATGACTGCACTGTTGAAGGTTCATTCCTTAGCGTTCGTGACTGGATTGCTGCGATTAAGGTTCAATTAGGAATTTTGTTCCATGTTTCGAGCCTTAAAAACATCATTCCTTAGGTTATGTTATATTAGAGATGTTATCACTCAACCTATGTTTTGAATTTTTGAGGAGTCTACGATTAACCATATACCAATTATGATATGCGCCAATAAGATCGACCTAAGGGATACTTTTAATTGATATTTAATTGATAAGCTACTTTTAATTGATATTTGTGTTTGGTTTTATTTTTTCTTCACTTCATTTCTCAACTTCAATTAAAATGCTAATTTAATTGAAAAAATTTAGGCAGTGGGTGTTCTGTTTGCAGAATGCAGTGCTCTGAATGGTATTAATATTGAAGGAGCTTTGATGAATCTGATTAGGTATAATATATAATTGCTGTTGTTTATTTATTACCTCTTCTGAAAAGGAACTTTTGCAGAGAACTGATAGTGACGGAAGATGTGGAAATTAGTGGAACTGGTGTGATTATCATGTCGAAGTTTTCAAAAGAAATAAGTAATTGTTGCTGCTTGAAAAATTGAATATTTACCCTCCCGTATTTTAAGGATCCAGTAAATTCCGAAATGTAAACGAAACACTAAGCGGTTGTTTTTTATTCCTAGTTTCTTGTCAGATTATCTTCACATATTACTCGTTTGGATACAAATATTTATTCTGCGAGATACATTGTTCATATTTTTTACTTTATCAAAAATGCAATTTCGTTTAGAAACTGCGTAGCTTAGTACCAATGAATTAACTATAAAATCTGTGAATTCCATTTCACAGTGGTGAAATTCTTGCTACTTGTTTCTTACAGAGACATCTTTTCTTACTTGTGATTTACATTTTACACTAAAAGTAATAGATTTGTCGAAGTTATTCAAATAAGTGTATATGATACATTCGACTGTAGTGCATGCCAGGAAACAAAGCAAATACGTAATAAGTGATGGATTACACTGTTTTTCTACAAATAAAAATCATCAAGGCTTTTTTCCAAAACTGGAATTCGCTGTTGTCTACGCTTTAACGTGGGTATAGTGGCGAAAGTAGTGATAGACATGTACTTGAAGGAATCGAAAAATAAAACTGTTCATTTTTAGGATTTTTCATGATCTAAAACAAAGTTTTCATATTCTCTCCTCTCAGACTTCAAATCCTCATGTTTTCTAGGTGGCATTGGAAATTCTTGTTAGTGGATTCATAACTGAGTAAATTTTCTTGGCTGATTCCTACGTTCATCTGAAAACCTAGATCTTTTTATGCACTTTGTAGTTTACATACGAAAAAAACTTGTTTTTTTCGTAAATAAAGTTAAAAGAAAATCTTTTTCTAGAAATTTTGCTTTAATATCCGTACTTTTCGTAGATTCTTGATATGAATACTTATTTTCATCCTTGTAGACAAAAAGTGAGTATGTAAATAAATGTATTGAAGCATATGTGTTATATTTAATGACATGATATTTATATTGATATATTTACATTATATTTAATACAATATTTGTGTTTTTACTGTTTTAAGATCGTTCACATGACTTCATTCACATAAAATCTGTATGTCAATAATTGGGAAGCGCAAATTTTGGAAAAAAAAAATTTGACTACTTAAGCTAAATTGTTGCGAACGCGTCCACTCTTTCCTTTTTCTCCGCTGTTTAATTATTAACACAGATGACGGAAATTTAAAGTAAAGAATTAGTGACCTCGAATATTATAAGTGCTTGTAAAGTACTTAGCTTTACTTCTTTTTTGATGGTAATATCAAGAACGCAGACAAAGAGCATTTGTTTGTTTAATTACTAAACACAATTTGTTTCATTAGCGGGGTTAATTCTCCTGCGCCAGATATTTTGAAATGCACTGTGAATTTTAGAGTTTGCTTGGTATACGTCGTATTATGTAGTTAATTGTAACAGAAGGAAGTATCGCATTAAGAAATTATATGCAAGGAAACTCCCATTTAAGTAACAGGGACCGATCAATCTATCGATCAAATTTAGCGGGGAAAATGCCCTGCTTTAGCTGATTATTCCATATTTCTATCCATTGCGAAGGGCACAAATCCATATAAACATTTCGGAAAAATTTACACCGCTCGTATTTTTCACCAAGTAGTGTAATGCAACGGTGATAATCTACGTAGTAGTCAAAGCAGTGTCGGGTCGCCTTACATTGCGGATATCGTACATCATAAGGTGCAGTCCATAAAATACCATCTGGTCCTCGCTGTTTTTCATTGTACTCTTGAGAGAACCATTCCGGTGCATCTGGTTGTCGGACTTTATATTCACTGCACTTTTTTTTCAGGTGTTCGAATCGTTCACCCAAGGTTTCCGGCACGGAAGAGAATTCGTCGCTCATATCTGTAATACTTCCCCTTTTACTTACTTTTGACAATATTAATTACAATATAAAATTAATTTTCAAATACTTCACTGAGGAAAATTAAATGCATTATTTCCACAACCTAATCGGCAGATTCTTGAATGCATTGTTTTACCTAACATCCCTACAACTAACACACAACATCTTTATCTTTATATACAATATCACATCACTGGCTAATTTGACTCACTGGATATGTTTTGATTTCGGCTATAATTTGAAGCAAGGAAGAAGTCCAACTATGAAACAACTATATATGGAAGCAATTAGAAAGAAATGAAGAGATCGGAATTTAAAAGTTTCAAAAATATGCAAATTGCATTAGTACATATGTTGCAGCCATTTGGTTGTTTCAGTTCTTTTGCATGGCTGAAAAAAAATTTTTTTGCTTAAGTTCTGCTTCCATGAAGGAATGTTATAATTTTATGCGTATATATACATATATATATATATATATATACATATATATATATATGTAGTATCACAAAAATATAAAAAGTACGAAGAAAAAAAGCAATAGTACATCAAATTTAAGTTTCCTTTTATTTATTTTGAAAACTTCCATTTTTTTTTTTCACAGAAAATGGTAAAAAGTATGAAGATGAACATAGTTTGTGGAAAGCATTTTGAAGACAGTTTGTTAATAGTCTACAGAATTTTACTTGTTATTCAACAGCTTTTGCTCCGGATCACCAAATTTCCTCAGAATATAAAAATGGGTCTCAAGATACAAAGCAAGGTATTCATTTTTGGGGTTTTGTCTTCTTGGGATATAAAGACGCCTTTCCAACATTACCGTGTAATACTGCATATTAACACAAGCAAAATATATTTAGTATTGTAGTGCTGAAACAATCTCTCGATTGTTCTGAATTTCCAAAGAATTTGGTTGAACAGCAAAGCCAATAAATATGTTATTAATGCGGATGACCGCATTAATTTGCTCCATTTGAACAGTTCCGTCTTAATTGGAGGACCGGCAGTTCATTAAAGCAAATTATAAACACGAAACAGTTTCATTTATAAAATTTTAACCAGCTATATATTTAAGAGTTACGGTACTACCTCAGGAAACAGAAAACGGTATTGAAAGTATAAAAATATTTAAAGTCAACGATAATGAAATGAAAGGACAGAAAGGGAATATCAGGTGCGAGATTCTGAATCCTTTTCATATCATTTGAAGTGAAGCCTTTGCAACGCTTCAATTGATTACAGTTAGATATCAGAATCGGATTTTAGTGTAAGACGCGCATTGTTAAATGAGTTTGTAATCATGAAGAGGAAGGGGATTAGGAATTTCAATTTATGGATCGAATCATAAGAAAAACAGAATTTCGTGACCTTCAGAAACCTAGCGTGGTTCTGCAATGGTATTATCAATTCTGCGGTACCTTTTTTCCACCTACATACTGCTTCAATAGACCGAGGCACGTTAATGGAATTAGCGAATGATTATCACAAAAAAAAATTTTCAAATCTCTCTAAGGAACTGTAAAAATTTTCTATAAAAAATGTCGCAAGGCCTCTTAAACAAGTGTAAACAGCATTCACAAAAGCTATTTACTTTATGCTGTTTTGTCAATCACTTGACTTGAATTTTATTTTAGAACATATTTCTATGAACATTAGAAAACGTCAAAAGAATTACAGGATATAATACAGACTTATATAGTAGCACCAATACAAAACAAGATTTGTGCGTTTCATATGCTTTAAAAAGCCTCCATATTTTTGTAAATATCGTAAAAATTTTATCCATTATTATTTTATCCAATTTCTTCAATCACTATTATGAAGGAATAAAAGTAGAAAGATGAAAATTCAAAAAGAGTAAACGTTAGAAAAAATTTACATGTTAGATTTGCAGCAAGGGAAGATGCAAATGATTGAACTGGAACTAATTATATAAATCAATCTCAATTGACAAGCAAAAAACAACCAATTAAACATGATTACTTTTTTCAAATTTAAATTATTGGATCGTGTAATGTAATACTTGAACATATCTTAGAATTTGGCCATTTACAAAGGTCTGGTTCAAGATTAAATAAATCAAGGTCTAGATTTTCCAAGCTAATTATTAAGTAACAAGAAATAATAAAAACAACGTAACGTTTGAAGAAACATTCAAAGATGCAGAAACAGTGCACTAGAAACCGAAAGAAGATACGGACTGCTTAAATCTTTGAAATTAATCGCTAAAGTTACAATGCATACAATCACGAAAACGTAGAAAAGTTCAAATGACGTAAAACAATGAATATAGCTTTAACAGTTAGGGGAAATAAATCAACTTAGAAAAAAGATCACAGTCATTAGGAATGGTAACAATTCATTCTTTTGCTTTGCAAATTGTTATGTGCATTACATTTTGAAATTCAAACAACTACAGTAGATTACATTTTTTAGGGAACTTAGGCTTCACATAATTTTTATTTTTAGTCACTTTACTGAGCTATTAAGTTACTATAAATTCATTATTTAAAGAAATGTTACAGGTTTTACATTTTGTGTCAAATGATAGACAATAAAATTTACTTGGAAAGCTGGTGATTTTTTCCGAAAAGCGAAATAACTTCCAAAAATTACAAGATGTATTTCAAATTTTTGATGCGAAAAAGATGTACAGAATTTGCACACTTACCATAAAATTTTTAATAAAGTATGGGATGAAATCTATAAAATGATCATGAAATGAAACGGGTGTTAAATGACAATTAAAAACATTTACACAACAAAAGTAAATTTTCAGTTAGCTAAATTCTTCAATTTCTTGAATTTTTTGATAAGTGCATTTACTAACGAAGCACGCTCAAATATGATATTGTTATATATGCGTCTTATTAATTCCTTTCCATTCTAGCATCGCTTTGCAAAGGAACTGCACATTCCACATCTGATATTGATAATTTAAATATTGTTTCCGGTACCACACGTTCCTGGATGCTGATTTTGCTTGTTAAAGATATTTGATTAAACTTAATTCCCAGCGTGCTACACAAGAATTGATCCTTGGATTGCCTTAAGAAAGTGAATGCAGACGTGACGTTAAAGTTTAATGAATTCTTAATTTCTTGAATGTTTTGATAAGAGGATTTACTAATGAAGCATGCTTAAATATAATATGTTGTTATGTATGCGTTGAGATCTGGTTTATTAGCCGCTCTTGCATTCGTACTGCACTGTTATGCAAGAGAGTTGCGCATTTCACATCCGGTGTTGAAACTTTAGACTTTATTTCCAGTACCTCATATCCCTGGATATTGCATCTGCGCTGAAATTTCTACTTTTTCCGTTTTTGCCGACTAGTAGAATCTCCAAACAGTCGTCGAACAGACTAAAGGGATGCCGGCAAAAGTTAACTAACCCGAAATTCTCTAACCTAGTAAATGGTTACGACCACTAGTGAGACGTGGGTAACAGGCTAATTCCGATGTAAACAACTAGAACACGTGCAACTAGGAACTGATAGTACAATCACACTCCGAAAAGTGAAAACTTCGTTAAAATAAATTGTAATGTGAATAGCAACAATCATACTTTAATCATTACTACTGCTGGTAAGAACAAAAAAAGAATTAGTGAAACCTACCTTTGAGTTCTGATAGTGACATGGTTCAGATATGGTAACAGCGGCAGTACTTGAACTTGATGCAAAACTATTGTAGGGATGACTAATGTGCTGTTCATTTTGTTCATCAGTGCCACAATCAAAAGAATGTGAAGCACAAGTTTTGTAAATGCTTCTGTTAACAATCGGTGAACATGACAAATAATAGCAGTTTGGATTACTTTGTGGCATCGTTATGTAATCCTGAAATGTCACTTGTCGTGCATATTCACATATCAAACATTACAATTATATGGTTCACTTTCTAAAAAAAAAAAAAAAAAACACTTTAGAAAGTGGAAAACTTTTTCTTATAATTAACTAACTTCAGAACAAAGAAGTTGATGACTTTCATTAGATGTAGAATTATACATGTCGGTAAAAAACTGATTGCCAATAAGCGTTTCAATTTTCACGCTCACATCAGAACGATCATCTAAAAAGGTGAATATAAAGCAACAAATGACAGCACATTAACGGTAATTGGTGATATAACAGAAAAGGAAAGATATTTTAAGCGCATATAAAAGATATCATACCACTGAATTGAGCAGTTTTGTATGAATTTCGACGATACTGCCAACAACTACAGCAACCCATGATGAATAAAGCTGAGAATAGCAGGAAAGCGACTGGAAAAAAATACTGCGGTGGTACAAGTCCTGTAATTATCAACTTAATACATATATCAAGTTCTTTATAACGATATTTTTTATCCATATAATATATCAAAAAGATTACATTTGTTACAGTTCCTTGTGCTAGTTTTCTACAAGTATTTTCAATCTGCTACAAGCCCGAAATTTTGTCGCTCAAGTTACTGAATTTGGTCCAAGTTGTTTCATATAAAAAGTGGAAAGATTACCAATAAATGCATCTACTATGTTCTTTGATTTCAGTTGAACTGTCTGGTAATCTCTGCCCAGCTCATTATATGCAGAGCAATTGTACGTACCAAAATCTGAATCCTTGATATTTTGAATAGCCAACCGACTTTCCACGCCAAACTGTCGCGCAACTTGATGAATCTGTATTAGTACCTTGGTCACTAAAAACTTGACGCCCAGAAATCATTTCTAGGAATTTCGAGATCATTTGAAGGAATTTCGAAATTTTCTGACATATTGGAAAGCACTATAAAGAATTTTTCAATACGTGAAAATATTTACCTGAAAGCGACTACTTAAACGTCCATATTCAAACGTTACCCCATTTAAGGACCACAAAACATCTTGTGGTTGCGGGCGACCTCTTACCTGAAAGTATTTTGCCTTTTTATCCTTATTATTAACTCGAACAAGATGCAATTACTTCGTTCTTTAAAATCGAAAAAAGAACAAGAAATGACAAATTATATAAAAGA